GTGATTCCGCCCAGGAGTCCTTCCCATTTATCAAGGAATTTCTCAAGCTGAGGCTCGCCAGACCCGGCAGCTCTGCCGAGGGATAGGCGAAGAAGTTCATTCGTACGGATAGACTGGCTCCCGACTTCATCGGGACGAAGGTACTCAATTAGACAGAACAGGATCTGGCGGCTTTTCAGCCTCGTTCCCCTTTTTACCTGAGCCTCTTCAGTCAGCCTACTGATCTTGGCAACTATAGGTTTCGATGTGATGCACTTTCTCAGTGCAGCATTGAACCTATTGTCAAGGATCGGGTAGAGGCACTCCTCATCAAGTTCCTCTATTGCGCTGGCGTTCTCGACACTCATGACCCAAGACATGGCATATGGCGAGTCATAGCTGAATGCGTTGCTCACGATTTCTCTCGTGGAAATGATCCAGTCTCGCAACTCATGCGGCGCAGGCTCTTTTTCGAGCTCTATGTTGGCGCACTTGTTCGCCTCAGATGGCAACGAAGTTAAGGGCGGTCGAGTAGCCTGCCCAAAAACGTGAGGAGGTAGAACGCCGTCTCTGCCAATGGATATGGCACAAAGAGAGCAACTCCCGGACGATGGCGGGCAGCACGCGGCACACAGAGAAGTGCGGCACAACGAACAAGTTTGGAAGCATGGAGGTGTCCCGGGGATGCTGGTCTTGACGTTTATGTTGCATCGAGGGCAGACCCTCTCCTCAGCGGAAGATCGGCGAAGATCGGGAGCCCCAATGCCGCCGACGCCACCGGCGCCATGCACACCCTTATCGAGTCCTGGTGGAAGAGAGAAACCAGTTGGCCCGCCAGAGTTATCTTGTACTCCGTGGTGAGGCTGTGGATTCTGCTGATTTGTCACAGCAGCGTCAGGTCCGTACCTCCCGCGAATGACTCCCTGAGACGTTCCATGCTCAACCTGACCGGTGAAAATCCCCCCTGTAGGGGAACATCCGGGATACGTGTTGATGGTCCCCCTCGGAACTGCTCGCCCGACTACGGGCGAAGACATTGCCCTTGGTGGCATTGGCCCGGCAGCTCCGGCGTGGGAACAGAAACCAGAATTCCCTTGGTGCGGTTCAGGACTCCGATGTGACGGATCTCCACGTGATGGCCCGGATCCAGGATCAGGAGCAGTGCCATCCCGCTGATTATGGTCAGGAATGCAATCAGGTCCTCCAGGCCCCGCACTGGGGCCGCGATGCTTAGTTTTCCCGTCGGGATCAGCTCTCAGACAACCGAGGCAAATAGGTCGAACACTCGACCCAAAACGACGCACATCGTCAGGCGAAGCGATGTGTTGATCGCAGTACTCGTCCTTGCATATGAGACACCTCACAAGTCCGTGTCTCCCCCCTCTTCCTCTGCATGCGCGGCATCTAGGAAACTGATCGCTGCACTTGAAACACGAGTTACAGTCATGGTCAAAGCAGTCTTCGCAGACTGACTTGCCGCAGCTTCGGCATGGATAGCGAGGTTCCCGATGCTGTGGATGCCCGGGCTCCTCATGAGCACACCTGGCCCGGTTATCAGGGGCAGCGCCGGCAGCCCGAGCAATGGCCCTCGTTCTAGAGGGATCCCTGCCGAAGATGGGGGCTGATGGTGACGGTGGGGGTGGCCCCGAAGGAGGTGGAGGTGGAGGAGGCCTCGCCGAGCTGACGGTGCGAGCATCACGGGGAGGAGAACCTCTAGGAGCCCTTCCCTGGGTTAAGGGATCAGTGTCTCCAGATTTCTCCCATGATCCCGTTCCGGCGGTCGAAGCAGCGCCAGCACTTGAAGATCCGCAGGCAGCAAGAGGTTGCTCCCTCAACTCAGCGATCTGCATGTTGATCTCATTGACCCTCAGCACAAGCTTCATAAACTGCTCTTGCATGTCCCTCGGATTGGGGCCTAAGCTTTTGTCATGAAGGTCCTTGACGCACCTAGCAATACGGGACAATTGAAGCTTGAACTCTTCCTGTTTCTGTGAGTTCTCATTGAGGGCTCCGGACATCCTATCACTGAACTGCTTCAGGTCGGTCGCAGGAACGAGCTGCTGGATATACGTCTCGACGTTCCCACGGATGGTTCTTTCCCTTGAGATGGTTCCCTCAATGTCGATGACACTGCGAGAGTTCGCCTCAACTTCGTCCTTGATTTTCCGAACCTCAGCCTCAAGGGCCCCGATCTCAGAGAACCTAAGGAGCTGGACCTTGACGTTCTCAAGTGATTCGGCCTGCTCGCGAAGTTCAGCAGCGGATATGACGATCGAGTCAGACCTCTCATCATACATCTTGAAACGCTCATTCATCTCCTTCTCGCTTCGGGCGACCCACTCGTGGAAATCACGGAACTTGGCCTCGTGTTTTGAGAGAGTTCCGGCAACGGCAGAGAAAGATGATTCAACCTTCTTCTCGAAGGCGTCAACACGGTTATTGATCTTCTTGATCTCACCGACGCAAGCGTTAATATCATCCCTACATGAACGAATCTCAGTTCTACATCCCTGGATTTCGGCCTTGCACCCCTTGACCTCGTTGTGGATCGCGAGAAGCAGTCGTTGAAGCTCAGATGCAACAGGATGGCCGCCACTTGTGGAAGCAGACGGAGCAGGACGACTATCAGCGTCATGATCTCCGCGCCTATTTTCTTCCCTGTCGGGAGTGCAGCCCGGAGTTCCGATTTGAAAGAATGCGGGGACGAGGGAGTTGTTGACCGGTTGATTTGAAGGAAGCCCTCCATGTCCAGGGGCAATAGTGCTAAGTCCAGGTCTCCGGTTCTTGGGCGTAGAGTTAATCCCGTCATCAGTCTCCTTCTCAGACATCGGGGCATTGGAGCTGAGCCCAGACCCCGCAGAGTGGATAGGAACGTCAATAGGATCGTGATGAGCTGGGGGATTAGATCGCAATCGCAAAGCAGCTTCACGTCTCTCGGGTGATTCAGAGCTCCTCTTTGTGGCTCGTGAGTCAGTGCCGGTTTGTCCCGACACATTATCAAATGATGATGATGATCCACGAAGTTGAGCTTGATCTGGATCAGGTTGAGTGAGATCAAGCCGTTGAGCAACGTCACCATTGAGTGGCTTAGGAGAAAGTACTTTGGCAACGCGGCTCGGCGGGAGCGATGTCGTTCGTCTCTCTGGTGTGACCTCGGCCTCATCGATTACATCAAGGATCCCAGGGATGGTTTCATCATCTTCATTTCCTCTCCTGGGTGGCTGATGGAAGGGGATGTCGAGGAGGTCGAAGGGAGTAGAGCCAATACCAGGTGTATCCTGCTCGGATCCATCGCTGGTACGGTGGCTGGACTGCTCCTCGAGGTCGATGACGTCGGGGGCGGACTCTTTTCGAGTCTGACGCCGATTGAACGCCGCGAAGAGACCGGCATGGCTCCTTGACGAAGTGGAGGAAGGATTTGGGCCTGCTGTTTCGCGGCCCGCGTCCGATCGATTAGTACCTGATGCCCGATTTGGCGGATTTGAGCCCGCGTTGTAGCGGTTCGCATCCCGACCTCGGGTGCCTGAGGAAAGCGGCGGATTCGGACCAGCGTTGTAGCGGTCCGCATTCCGGTCGCGGGTACCTGACAGGTGAGATGATACTGCATCAGGGATGAAGTCCATATCCGCCGGACTGGGGTGATCGTGAATGATGTCAATGTCGGATGAACCTGAGACGGGAGGAAGGCCAGCTATTTGCGGCCGATCCTCAATCGCCCGTTCGCCAACCTCGGGTTGGGCCGAACCTGCAACATGAGAAGGGGAGAAGTCTTCAATGGGGTCATTTTCTCCAACATGAGGAAAACCCTGAGTAGGCTCATGCGTAGGCAGGGCATCAAAAGATCTGTCAATTCGGGAAGGCCGAGACCTCCAATCAGCATCAAAAAGGGATTGAAAATCCAGATTCCCAACCGATATGGGGCACCCGAGTTAAAGTCGAGCCGACCGAAATCAGGCGGTGTAGCCTGCGATCCACTGCCGAGGAGCTGGTCAAACTGATCCCATGTAAGGGACCATGATTGAGCCGGCTCCGGATGAGCAGCATGATGGACAGCCCGGTCCTCGATCTGGAGCGCCACGAACGGAACAGTAGGCGAAATCGATGAGGGCACCTGATTTGGAGGAACCTCAGCCTCTTCTAGAGGGGGTCCGTCCTCGATCTGAAGCACTGCCGCCGGGATAGGGGCCTCCGCATCCTCATCAAACACGACCTGAGAAAGGATCCAATCGTCCGTGATCACCCCGGGATTGGGCTCTGCGCCCACCATCGGGGGAATGGGCCACAGCCGGCTGTCTAAGCCGGGGGCAGCAGGCGCGGCGTTGCCGCGAAGGGCGTTGGCCTCGTCGTCCACGAAGCCCGGCCCACGATGTGAAGCTCCGGGGGACGCCATTGCTCGTACAAGTAGGCGATGGGAGCAGGTAGCGGGTCACGTCCCGCAACCGGATCACCAGCCCCAGCTTCTAGCTGGTACGGCTGATAACCTGCGGTTTTGGGCGAACACGAAGTAGCCCAGGGAAGCAAATGAGTACAAAGAAGATCACAATGTACCCAAAGCACCCGGAATCACAACTCGGGTGAAGCTGTGGATGATGACCGGGTTGAGGAAGTGACGGTTAGTAAAGAGAAGTTTGGGGAAGTTGGGAAGCAAGTTGAAGAAGTATAAGTACTCAACCAAGCCCAGCAAACCCTGCCGCACCACCGGATACCTCCCACAACCAGCTGCCCCCAGCACCGAGACCTTTTCCCGGTGATGTGGGCGGCTGCCGTTGTATGGCGTCCGCACGTGGTGCCAGAGCTAAACTGACGGGGGGTTGAAAACTTGAGCCAAACGGCCATTCGGCCGTTTTGCCACATGAAGAAACAACACGTGAACAAAACACAAAACCCAAACAAGCCCTGACAGACTTTGGATTTTGGTTAGGGGAGCTGGAACGATTTCGGGATTTCACCTGCGAAAAGGATGGACATTGTATGACATTGTCACATTCAGGTTGGGTAAGCATTTCGTCAAAATCCATGGCCTGAAGCTTGACACTTCCAGCCCTCGACAGCTCGCGCTCGCTGCCTCACAGCAATGGCGGCCCAAGCGCGAGCAAAGCGGCGCCTGGGCTTCGTGAAAGCCGAAGGGTGCGTAGCACTTTTGCAGAGCAAAATGCAGGCCAAGATCTTCAGCACGGGTGAGAAATGACTCAGCACAACTGCGAAATACGGAAGGCTGGAAGCCACATCTTTGGTTGTACGCCTAAACATTGCGCGTTCCATCTTGGACAGCTTGCCCTTCAGCCTCTTCTTCACGACATGAACCGCATACCGCAGGTCTCGTAAAAGTGTGAACATGCTGTCCGAGACGTCCCCCGGAATGGCACGCACAACCTCCACAGGGTCTCTCTGATCTCGCTGGTTGTAGGCATTCGCCACTTCCACCAAGGTCTGTATGTATTCGGTGAACTCACCCAAGGTGAGGGAGCCACTCCGGCGATCCACCACAACCATGAGAGCTGACCTTATGCACAAAAACACCCCTGACTCACTGACGCATCTGGCTCTCTGATCTCTGGGGGGCCAGGCGCATCCATTCGAAAGTCCTCCATGCTTTGCTTCGGAAGGTTCAGTTGGCCGCTCCAGATGGACTGCACTATGCTCAGCACAGCGCCTCGCGGTGTTCGGAGCCGGAAAGCCCAGTTCTCCGTTGCGTGAGACGAGTAATGCATCCCAGGCGCTCTGCTTAATGCTGCCTGCGCCGGCTTGGTCGAGCTCCTGACCAGGAAGGCAAGATTCTCATGTCTCATGTGATCTCCGAGGGCGGCCTCAAAGAGCTTACGGATGGAGGCCGGCTTGGGGTTCTTGAAGATGGCCAAAACAGCAGCATCCAGTTCCTCCAAAACTGATGCAACCAATGCAACTGCTTGGCTCACGCCCGCTCACGCCTCTGATGACCCACCGTAGAGTGTCCAATCCTCAGGCTCCAGCCCTCTTTCCCTTTCCGTCACAACTCCTGCTCTTTGTTCCCCAGATAGCTGAAAGCTATAGGGGCTCTAACTTCTAATGAAGAAGGGACAGGATTTGCGAGATTGACGGCTGGGTAATATGGGTATGCAGTTCAGGGTTCTGGCGCAGGTGCGGATTTGGTGCGCTGGCAGAGGTTTTTTGGAGGTGCTGGTGACGGTGTGCGTGGGGTGCTGGTGCAGGTGCGTTTTGGAGCGCTGCGGTGTGGGCGCATTTTTGCGAGATTGACGACCCGCGCAAGTGTTGCTTTGGGGGCGCTGGTGCAGGTGCTGTTGGAGGTGCTGGTGACGGCGTCAGCACTTTGGAGATGGCTTGCAGATTTCGTGGCAGGGGCAGTATTCTCTGCATCGGGGTGGCTGTTTGCGCAGGGGCAGCATTTTGTATCTGTCTAAAGGGGCTGGACGTTGTCGAGCGCGCGGCTGGTGAAATCTGATCTTGGTTTGTCTTTCGCGCAAGCCCCTCCACACCATGCGACCCCTTGAGCATGGGGAGCTTGAACAAACAGAGTGCGGAGGTGGAATATTTTCAGTTAGGTATCTCAACCAGATGAGCAACGGTTGCAAAAATGAGAGTTGGACTGCACCTACTCAGCCTTCTACAGCTGAGAAGTGTTCTGTTGGGCCCGTGCTCGACGCCTTCCCAATTGCCCAGGACTGCCAAGCATCTTTGAAGTCGGGATGTTGCCGTACTTGGCGCCAGGCTCTCAACAATTGCAACCGCGATGGGGAGAAAGATGAAGGCAGTAGCTTTGGTGCCGCCGACTTGATTAGCATGAAGAGGCCTACCTTACATTTCCCAAGCAACACATCGCTAATGCCTTCTGATCTTCTGGGCTTTGGGCTTCCTTTGCAAATATCGCTTGCCTGCAGCACTGGAAGATCTTGTGCACAAATCATCGTGGCGGGCACCAGTGTCACAGCATCACTGGCAGCGCGGCGCAGCAGCGACCTCTCCATGCTGTCTAGCACTTCGCCTTGGGATACCCGACGTAGAAGTCGCAAGCTATACCTGAACGGAATTCCAAGGCGCATCAAGGCGCAAGGCAGTGAGATGCAAATGCAGTGTCCCGCCTGATGTCTTCGCTCAGCATGTCAATGCTGTCCCAGTATTCCCGAAGCACGTGACCCAGCATGCCTTGCTGCAAACAGTTAGGATGATGCCAATTATGATGCACAAAGCTGACATGGATCCGAAGTGCCCTTGTTTCTGCACGGAAAAGGGGATCACTCAGAAACCAACACAGTAGTTAAATTTACTCAGGTCCTGGAAAACCTTGACCAGTGGGCCAGTGGCAAAGGCACAATACAGAACTCAAAAGCAATTCGAAACCTCAGAATCTTGGACCTTCCGCTCGAAACACAGGACACGGCGCGGCGGGATACACACAAGGTCTCGTTCCACATCCAGCTCCATTCGGGATCGCTGATGTTGCCCCACCACCGAGAAAGTGGAGGAACCTCAAGGGACAAACATTGAACATCGTCAGGCAAGCGGTTGCACGCCAAACACGAGCGACAACAGTCGCTATTGAGACTTGGCCTGCGGTTCTTTCAGCTGCACCAGTGTGGCTGCATACTCAATAAACTCGTCCAATGTGATACGACCATCCTTATCACTGTCCAGGACGATCAAGAGTGCAGCAGCATCATTCAGCAAGTCAGCATTTCGTTCCGACAGCAGTGGCAAAACACCTTGCCACAGCGTCTGCCTTGGCTATTGGCTGTAGTGGTTCACCCATCAGCTTGGACAATTATCCACCGACCCCTGCTCGCAACATGGCCATCTACAGAGTGAACATGCCCCAGGGTCACCACAGCAAACAAGCAGACCTATTGGGGGGTCGCCCGCTGCCGTTGTTGAACCTATTGGTGGCCGACCTCCCAAAACAGAACGCGCATTCTGAAATGCCAGTGGCGTGGGGTGCTTGTGGCAGCATCACCGATTTGGCGCTCCCTTTAGCTGGGCTGGGTGATGCACGGCCAGCTAAACAAGTCTGAGCTGGGCCGATTGGAGGGGCATTCTGGTTGGTACATGGTGACTTTGGGAATCTTTGGGATCTTCTGCCGCACATTGCTGTGCAAAACTCGGACTTGAGCCCGCCCAAGACAAAGCGACGTAAACTCGAGGGCCTGTGTGCAGGGCAGCGTCTCGTTGCCATTGCTGAGATTTCTGAAGAGCTTGTCAGACGCTACTCGCGCGTCCGCCAGGCGCGGGGCTGCCTCGAGCATCTCCAATTTGGACCAAACCTTTGCGGTCTGGTTCGGGTTCGGGTCACGCGCTTGTGGGCGTGCCGGACGGGCAGTGTGCCAGCCCCGCCAGCCTCGTTGCCATGCGAAGTGTACGAAGTCCAAGTGCAGCGCCAACAGCAGCAAGGGCAGCAAGGGCCAGCGGCTTCTCCATGGCATGGCCGAAGTCAGAGCGTCAGAGCCTGTGGGACGATCTGTGGCCGAGAAGTCAACTGGCTTTCGAGTGCCTGCCTGAGCCATGCCTGAGTGCCTAAGTGGCAAGCCCAACAGCTGCAAGTTGGCAAGTGCCACTTCCTTTTTTGCAGACATGCGTGAAACTGCCGCGATCCGCGCGGATCAAGGCACAAGGCACTGAGATGCGAGATTCTGCGACTCACCGCGACTGCTCACCTCGGACGTTTCATACTCGAACGTTGCTTCCGAACTCGGTGATTCCCATCCGGAATGTGAGCATTTCACCTTCCACGCCCTCGACCTTGCTGTTTAGCTGGCTGACTGCTTCGCGCAGAAGCTGCAAAAGCTTCAAACACTGTAGGCTGGCGATGGGCATGTCAAGCAAGCACAAATTCAGCAAGCCTTCGACAAACTCCACCTGGGTCAAGCTCTGTGTTCCGTCCACATCCAAGTAGTCAAACAGATCAGCCATATTCTCCACGCAAATGGAATCTAGCACCCGCGGTGGTAACGCGGTCAGTGGCACGTTCTCGACTTCATCCCGCGTGATCAGACCGCTATGATCCTTGTCTAGCTCTTGGAAGATCTCGACCAAGGACGGCAAGGCCTCGCCAGAAACCAAACTTACGGATGGCCTTGACATCTACATTGAGACTGGGTCTTTTGCTTTCCGACATCTGACTCGTCTGACACATCAAAACTAGCTCTCTCTTAGCTCTTGCAACGGCTGAGTCCCACACTGATCTCACCTTTGCCTTTAGCTTCATCCGCTCTTCCTCTGCTTCTATGGCGGCTGCTTGCATCGCATTCTCCACCAAGGCGGCTGTAACTAAGTTCATGAGACCAATGGAGATGAAAATGAGAATAGGGAAGAAGTAGACGCAAAGCCAGGGTTTGGCAAAAATCAAGGGATAGTACACCTCCGCAACGTTGTCCAAAGTCACAAACTGCAGCAATGTGATAAAGGCCTTGTTGATTCCAAAGAAATGATCTTGCACCAGCTGCCTGGTGTTGGGATTCTCTCTCAAGTCCGGGTCTTTGGCAATGACCTCCATTGCCACACATGAAAAGATGAAAAGGAACACGGCAATCAATGCAGTGGTGGAGAAAATCGTCTGGCCAGCGTTGAGCAGCCCATATACCAAGCGCCAAACAATCTTGAAGTGGCTCAGCATCCTGCAACGGCGCGAACAAGCCAACATAAGTACTCACATGCACGCCTGTGCCTCTGATACAACAGCCAAACAATCTCCACTCCCTACAGGACCTAGCGTGTGCGCAGCAAGGCATGAGCTTCGCTGATCCAGTGTAAGCATCACAACCCTTTATGAATAGGCCGAATTTTGCCATGTCTGCTCCTTATCTATTCTGATCTGTCACCCCAGAAGCATGCGCAGCAATGCGAAGAGTGCACAAGGGGCGCGTCGAGACAACATTGGTCCTCGAGCAAGACTTGGGCGAGACGCACTGGAGAAAAACAAACTGCAGCAAGATAGACAGACTTGAACAAATTCGCACGCTTCCTCTCAAGTAATAAAAGCCTTCTTCTCTCGCTGTGCCACGCGGATTTGAGCGTGGATTGTGCTGTCACCGAGGCGAGTGCCCTGGTCAACGCCGTGAACGTGCAATTGCGCTTCACTGAAGAGGGCCGGAAAGCTTGTCTACTGGCGAGTGCGTCTCTTGGAAGCGAGCGGCGGGCTCAAACCCTTCCGCGCTTGCACGTGAAGTGCGTCTTCACGATTCAGAGGGAAGTATGCGAACTGCGTTTTGGCAGCTTCAGATAAGCTGGCGGGAAAACGCACGCAAAAGATACACTTGGAACCCACATTCTCACAATTCCTCGCGAAGTTCTTCGCACATTCAGGCAAGATATTCTACACTGGAGCAAAATAAGATGTACTCGAGCAGAATGCACTCGGGCACAATTCACATTGGCAACTCAAGCACCAAACATGCGAGCAAGGTATACTTCAGATAGCCATATGCCAAGGTACCTGAGCAAGGAGCACATGAGGAAACATGTACTCAGGCCAAACATATCATGCTTTCGGGCCACTCGTTGTCTAGCATGCCCGTATGCCCCATTGCTACTGCACAACACACCTAATTCATCCCATCGTTTCACTCAGTGTCATACCTTTTGTTGCCAAGGAAACCCTAGCTCCGTCTCGCTCACGCACAGGTTTCATACCTGAAGCAACTACAAAGGCAGCAAGTTGTAAAGTTTGTACAAGCCCTCCTCAAGTCACTCGCGTGGCCTGATTGCCCAAGCTCTGTTTGCAATGCATGGCTCGAAGTCCGGAACATGAGTTAGGTGCAGTTGACTGCATTTTCGTCCGAAAGCTTTGCGAAGGATTGTTCCGGTAAAATTGTTAGCCTCATTATTGCGCTGCAAGATACACGAGAGGACATGCAGAGAATAATGCACGATAGCACCTCAGCACCATGGAAAACAGTACACGAGTACATGCACAGTCAGTAGGGTGCGCGAGCACATGCATATGTCGAGCGCACATGCAGGGCACAGCAAATTGCCGAGACCGCGCGCAGCAAGCTGAAAGATGCGCAGCAACTAACACGAGAGAATGCGCGCAGCATTGCACGAGCCAACTTGCGAGACGACATCTTGCACGACAGATGTGGGCCCGAAATCAAAAAGGCTCTTTTAAGGCGGCGCTGTATTGCGCGGTGGGACCAAGCCCACTCTTCGAAAATGACACCTGAATCGAGAACAATTCGCACAAACACTTGCACAGAGCCCACAGAGAAACATGCGCAACGCGCTTTATTCGCCGAGAGCTACCTTGCGTCGAGAACTTGCGAAGATAAACTCGAGGCGAGAACTAGTGCAAACACTTGCATACAGAACTTGGGCGGAGAAGCTTGCGTGGAGATCTCCCGCGAACTTGCAGAGTGAAATCACGCTAGCGCGAAGAACTTGCACGAAGAACTGGCGCAAAGACACTCGCGCAGATTGCCTCTTGTAGCTACGACTCGAAGGCGTGCTTTTCTGGCTTGAAAGACAAGCGGTCCAGACAATCCAAGTGCTGCAGCACCTGTCAAAAAAATAACGCCCAGCGCAGAAATGCTTGGAATCCACGGCCCAAGGGGCTCCGAACAAGTCTCTCTCCTGAGCGCCCGAAGCAAGCGGAAGAGCCGCAAGCCCCGGACCACCAGCAGCGTAGCCCATTGGTCGACTTGCTGTGAGTCGCCCGCGAGCACAGGCACCGCAATCAACGCTGTGACCCCCACTATAATCAGCACCAGGTCCAGCCTTAGTCACGCGACAGGAAACCTTCAGTCCTCAGCCTTGCCGATGGCAGTGGGATTGCTTTCGCATACGGCTATTTTCCAAGTTTCAAGCCTTCGCTTGATCTCCCATGAGCGAGAAACACATCTCGAACTGCCAAAGCTGTTGGGGGGGGGTACTGTGAATGTGGCAACTGCTTGCAAACAACCAACAGGGTCAATCATGGAACCCGAATGTCTTGCATTTCACTTGCATGCCTCTTTGTTCAAAGGTCTCTTCGGGGCCTGGATGGACTGGCCAATTCCTAGGAAGTGTCAAGCAAACTGCTCATCACAGCGCTGTTCTCAAGTAAACCTGACGTAAGCCCCGCGTGACACAAAGAAATACACAAATGTTGCCCTGCAGAGTTTGATGAAGGTCCAAAACCGGTCAATCGACCAAAGTTCAGGAAGCAGCCCAAGCTCAGAACCGCCGCCAAGGATGGCTGCAATTCAGAGCCCCTTTGCCCCTTCAGTCTGCATGAAGCCTACCAAGCAGCAAGAACCAGAGATCCTTGAAAGTGTCGTAGCCACCTGCTATTATCCTGAGGCTGGCTTCAACGGAGTACAGCGCCAGGAAAAGCCGCTCAACTCCTGGCGGCTGAGAAGCGTTAAATTCTTTGCGGCCTTCAATTTGTTTGCAGCGCGTGCCTCAAATAGAGGGTGGGCATACCTTCCATTGCGAATATGCAACAGCCTAGGAAAATGACTTCCGCACGCATGGATGGGGCTCTCACAGCCCGTCCTGCCGGCCAGAAACCGCCGTGAAAGACAACCTCTTCCCGCACTGAGATGTGCGCCTCGATGCCGATGGTGATCAAGTTCCTCGAGCGTACGACCAAAGCACGAGGGCCGCGCCGCTCTACGTGCTACACTGCGTCACTACGTTCTACACATATGACGCCCAACCCTGCAAGCAAGGCGCAAGAAAATGATGAAGCCAGCTGCAAACTCAAACCATTGAGATTTGACCAGCGAAGACACGCGGCGGCGAATCTTTTCCAGCGGCGAAATGTCGATCGGTTCCGCCTGCACAAAGGGCATGTGCATCAGTGCAAGCTGTGCTAGCCGCTAGCCCTACGCTGAAGTACAGACTTAACACACCCACAAGCCTGTGCAGAGTCAGCAAGCACTTCCATTACGAGCTTGCGGAGTGGTCCTGCTGGAAATGCTGCGACAGTGTTGCGCGACCTTGGTCAGCCGAACACGCAAGTGAGGTTCAAGCCTGAGCCCTGCCTCAGGAGCGCATTGGAGCTCATCTTTGAGTTGTAATTCATGTGGACTTCGCTCGCTTCGGTACCTTCGGTACCTTCGGTCTCGCTTTCGACCTCACCCTCATTTGTCTCGGGCAGTGGGAGGAGCCCCGGCTCTGAGGAGGAGCTCCCCCTCAATGGTGAGGAGAAAGGATTTGATGGATTTGACGGATTTGACGGATGTGACTGTGAAACCTGTGAAACCTGGGAATGAAGCTGCAGCATCAAGTCTTCGACTGTCTGTCGCCACTTCTTGTGCTCTTCTGTCAGCTGTTCGAGGCCTTTGAAGGCCATCAGCTGCTGCTGCTGGATTTCAGCCAGCTTCTTCAAGCCTTCGGCCGCCATTACCAGAGGCCGAGGGCGCGGCGCGGTCGGTATTTGCTCGTGCCGCTTTGGGAGCACGCTTGAGAAGTACTACATCGAACATAGGAAAACAGCAAGTTGTTGAGCATTTCGCACCTCAGTGCCTTAGGCCCCTCAACTCCTTTTTTTTGGGCCGCCCAAGTCTGGTGTCGCTTTGGGGACTTTGGCCCATGCCACACCATGTGCGGTCTTGAGTGTGATCGTCGTAGAGTCCTTTGACTCTATTTCCAGCAGGTCAGCATATACCCTGGCCCAATCACCGCGCCGTCGTTCTCCAGCCGCAAACTGAGACCTCTCTTTCACGTCCTTCTCGAACTTCTCGAACTCGGATGCTCCAACATTTCCCGTCAGCTCGACCAGTCGGCGGCACTCGCTGATGGAGCGCAAGGCCCGGGCGACTTCCCGCTCCAGACCCAGCTGGGCAACCTCAAAGCCCAGGCTCTGCAAACGCGCCTTCTCCGCGTCGTACGCGGCCACCGTGGCCTCCACATACGTTGTCAACACGTACAAGTGGCTCCGCCTGCGGCAGACTGCCTGAAGTGCTCGCCTTGCTGCCTCGCACCTCATGTGGCACCGAGGCAACTTCCCAGACCTGCTCTCGGCCAGCGCACGCAGCTGCTTCCGATGGTGCATGAGCTGGATTAGTCGCCTCAACGCTGCTCGGACTTCCACCTGTAACTCTGCATTCTGCAGCAATTGCGCATGTTGGAGCACATGCCCATGCTCTCGTGCTTTCAACGCAGCACTCTTCATCTCATCCCGCTCCTTGTCTTCTCTCAGGAGAGCCGATGCATCTTTCCATTGTGCTTCTTTCTGTTCGCGATTGTGTTGAGTGACTGGGGCACGACTTTCAGCGGCCTCTTCCTGCCAAGTCTGGCCCTGGATGCCATCAGAGTCAGCCGTTGCCTCTGGTGCAGACTCTGGGCTTGCAGACTCTGGCCTTGCAGATTCGAGGACCTCCGTTTTGGCGAGGACCTCCGTTTTCAGCGTCTCGTTGGCATGTTCCGTGCGAGCCTTCGCTGCCTCCAAGAACTTGGAAGCAAAGTCTTCGACGTCCGCAGGGCTGACGTCAAGCGTCTCGGACCCCCCCGGCCGCTCGGGCCGCTCCTCGGGCTGGTCGGCCTTGGGCTCGGGCGTTGCAACGAGGCGGGCTAAGCGCTGGTTCAGGTCACGTGCTTGGGCTCGTCGGGCCGCTTGCGTGCGTGCCTCCAAGGCCTTGGCGTCTGCGCGCGCAATCCGCTCTCGCGCAATTGCGCTCGGTCCCTCGCTTCCTCTCTTAGGGGACTGGGCCAGCCCTTCGGGCGAGAGCCCTGCTCCTTCGGATCCTGCGGATCTTTCGGGTCCTTCGGGCTCGGGTTTGACTTCAAGCCCGGGGCCTTCGGGGCCTTCGGGGCCGGAGAAGTTGCCATCCAGCTCCTCAGCCATCTGCGCCTGTGCAGCCTGCACCGCCTGTGCAGCCTGCACCGCCTGTGCAGCCTGCACCGCCTGTGCAGCCTGCACCGCCTGTGCAGACATCAGATCTGCGCGAGCTGCCAGCAACAGCTTGAGGTGCTCATGGAATTCGCCAGTCTGCATCTCATTATTTACGTCGTCCAACCCTTGTGTGTCGGCTATGGCCACAGGCACAGCCGGTCCAGCCAGTTGTGCCACTTGTGCCAAGGCAGGTCTGCAGGGAAGTTGGGTGTCTGGCGAAGACAGGCTCCACACGCGGCAGCGGGAGCAGCGACAGCCAAAGCCAAAGCGTGTCACAGCTGCGCCTGACCAAGTGACAGGGACTTCTGCTCCCGGTTCTGGGGAGGTGGGGTGTGGGTGCAGCCTGTGAGACGCGTTGCAAAATCCGAACTGCCCCAGTTCCGTCCGTAGCTGTGCTGCTTCCACAGCCCAGAGCTTCTCTTGCAAGAGCAAATCAGAGCCAAGTGCGCTCGTCCCGCTTAGAAAGCAATGTAGCCGATGAGCCAAGCGAACTGACTGCTCTGCGCGATGCAACCGTCCCAAGAGGTCTGATTCCATGTGCTCTCCGTCTATCGACCATTCTGGGATAAGACATTTTCGGGTGCAACTTGATGCTTCAGCGGGCTTGGCGTATGCAAGGCAAAGTGTCAGTCCTCCGCTTGCGTGCAAAATCTGGCTGGCATGCATTTTTTCTCCGGCTGAACGTGAGCAGCGGCACCCGGCCGCAGCGTATAGCACAGAACAAACACTTGTACGTGACAAAGGCAGACTTGGAGCAATTCAAGCAACAATGACGAACCATTCCGGTTATATTCTTGCTTAGGCTGGCAACGTCAAACACGCCGCCATGGGCTCTCTGCCCTCTGCCTCTTTGCCTTGCCTTGAAAGACTTGGGCAAAATTGGCAATGCTTCTAAAAAGCACATTTTCCTCAGACTCAACTGATGGTCAAAGAATTGATGTGCACTATGGGAGCAGGTTTCTACATCACTGCTGCGAGACATCCAATGTCTTGGACACTGGATGTATCCTAAGGAAAAGCACATCAGCTCGATCTAGGCATCGTATGGGTGTGTGTGTCAAAAATAGGGGACCACGCAAACTGTGGTGATTCAGGCACTGCCTGTGCCAGCACCTGCTTGCAGCATCTGTGCAAGCGCGGAGACGTTTTGCCCGAGCCTGAGCTGATGCTTCTGGAGGTACCTCGCAGCGAGACTCGGAGCGAGGCTCGAGATGTGAGCTGAGTGAGGCGGCCGACGCGGCCGACGACCATGGCATCATGGGCCCTGAGTGTGAGGCGAGGCGTCTGTGGCTCCACTTGGTTCACCTGGGGGCCAATCGTGTGCTGCATTTGCAACTGCATTTCGTGACGAGGCGGCTTTTTGACGCACAAGTGAGTGCACTCAGAGAGCTCGGGGGAAGAGCATCCAAACTAATTCAAACAGCGTGTTCAGCCGAGGTCCAGCTGCCTCTGCCCAGGCTGTTGACCATGTCCGCATTGCGGCCCATCCGTCCAATGGCATCTACAGCCATGAACCGCATGAACTATAGTACTCGCTCGAAGCCCGTGCCGCGCCATCAGGCGGGCGAAAGAGGACACAGGATACGTACTACGAAATTGCCATCACAGCGGATCAGCTGAAGGGCACTATCTGCCAGTGCTTGAAGGCAGCTTTGGCTTTTCACACTTTCCACATGTGTCAAGTTGTTGAGGCCTCCAAAATTTCAGTTTGTCAAAGCTGCCTTTCCCGTCACTGTCCACCAGACGCTGGCTGACAGCCGAGGCTCACCGCAACTGACCAAGCTTTCAAAGTATAACGGCTCACTCGAAGATAAAACTGACTATCGGATCTGACAGCGTGCAAGCCCAATGTCGATGTTCAGTCGGGGGTTTCGCTCGTGTCCAGCACCACCTGGCAAACTTTGAGTCCATTTCTGTGCTTGGTGGCTTGGTGCATTCTGTAGCAAAAGGCACCTTGATGACGCTCCCCTTGTACTTCACCTTGTCGTGGCCGGTCTTCACCTGTCCGGTTGCGAGACCATGGCAACTGCAACTGTCGCTCCCGCAGCCTTGCCGTACTCTGCAACTGTGAGCCAGCAATCTCCACGACGATAGTGGCACTGGTCCAGTGGACCGATTATGTCCGAGAGCCTAAGCAAAGCACCATCAACCATGTCAGAAACCATGTCTTCCGTTCTCTTGCGCACGCTCCGCACGCTCAGAAGCAGCTGGGAATGCGGCATGTGGCGCAGGGCTGCGCCAGTATTCCCCCAGGGCCCAGGAATCAACGATAAACTCCGAGCGTCTTTGTCCTGCTCTGCCTGAACTTCCTGAGCGAGGGAGCCCGATCCAGTCCCCAATCCATCCGACCCATGCACCATGCAAAAAGCCCAAGCCATGCCAGGCATCCAATACTCCACCATCATATTTCTGAACCGCCGAAAATGCATGGCGCTTTTCTGTGAAGGAGATGTGCGCCGAGCTGTCCGAGATGGTGCACTTCTCGACAGGGCCCACCTAAGGCGGATTTCAGATTCTCTTTCAAGACTACCAGTCTCTTTGTCCCCCGACTCCCTGCCTGCCCTGCAAAAAGCCCCTCCAGCTGGCGCTGGGTGAGACCCCGGATGAGGTTTGTCACCCGGATGGTGCTGCACCTAGGCGCGGCTTGGGCATCGGGCATACGTGACCAACCGCTGACCCGGCGCCGATATTGAGCACAGGTATGAGGCATTCCAGTCCTGTGTCGTGACAGCTGTCCTAGCAACTGCCCTGTGCAAATTCAATTAAGAATGAAAGTGAACGGGGCGCATAGTGCATATAGTGCTTCTTGGGTGCTCCAGCTGCTTGGCTGTCAATGGCAGAACCTCCCACGCTGGGGAGGGGCTGGATTGCTGCGAAGACAGCTGCGTAGATTTGGCCTGGGCCTGGACAGCCTGCGCAGTGCGCCATGTGCAGCCAACTCAAACTTCTCTCGACACGGACAGGCCATGTTGGCTTGTGCCTAACAAACATACTCTGCCCCTGTCTCTTTGCAAACCCATAAAGCAAAACCAAGACTAGCAAACGCTAGCAGAACAGACTCGGGTGACTCGAACGTCTAGCCTCCACTTTGACTTGGCCCGTCTCTGGCGTCTTCATGGCCACTTTGGGTGGTGGCGGCGGTGGCACGCTTGCAGGCTCGGTCTTTTTGACTGCCAGACGTGACAAAACCTGCAGGACTCAAAAGCAAAGCTTCATACTGCATCCAGCTTGCAAGGGTGCACATTAAACATCTTGTGCCTCGTCATCCTCCGGCATCAAGAACCAGCTCTTCCCCTCGCCTGTTGAAAGCATACAGAGAACCTCAAAACGACCACAGCCCGCAAGCGTTTCACAAGGAGCGGCTTCCTAGTAAGCATTCCCGAGAAGAGCTTGTGGCCCTTACCTGAAATAACACAGTAAGTGACAGTAAGGCTGCTGGACATCCCTTTGGCAACAGCCCATGCACAAGTGGAGGGTGCTACTTCCATGAAGCGTGTTGTTGCCAGGCTTATGAACACAAACCGATCTGCGGAGCCTGCGCCCAGGCTCGCTTCCCTCAGACTTAATCTCACTGCGAACACAAATTGGCACAACTCGCTGCTCACAGAGCTGGTAGTTGTCGCTTCCAGTATTAAGCTTGGACGGAACAAATGTCTGTGGACGAGTGCTGCCTTCAATCCAAACATGCCATTATGAAACACAGGCAAGCAAATGCCCCAATGATACTTGCACTATACTTGCGCACGACAAAAAAGAAACTATGTGGGTTCGCTCTGTTACAGCATCAAGTTTTAAAAGGAGGTTTCTTGGCTCCACCCAGATCAACTTAAGATTGATTTCCTTTTGGAGGCCTTGCTCGACGGGAAGTTGGGAGATTTGAAACGCGCATCCGGAGTGCCTGGCTTCGCGCTGGGCTTCGCCTCGCTGAACGCCTCGCGAGCGAGGGGAGGCCGAGGCCACGAGATGCAGACGCGCCGTGAGTGCGCTCAGCAGCTCCGGCAATGGAATCTCCACTTTGACGTTAAGGTTCAGAGATAAGCTGGGCTCCCCGTTGAGGCCTACATGTCACAAAGGCAAATTGTCACATTGTCACATGCCACCGTTGGGCCCCGCCTGCACAACCAAGACCGGCACTATTGCAACTCACCTGCCCAATGCGCTGTGGGGCAATGGTCCGCCCCCCCTAGGCATGCGCATATGTCTGCAGGCCAGGGGCTTCAATGGGCAAAGGAAACACTCCCATGGGCGCAGCGCCCTACGTAGGGCTCACCGCTCTTCCTGCCCCTGTTGCCTTACAAACCGATATACTTTTGTCTAACACGTGCTGGAGCCAAGAGTGGTGAAATGCTGCCGATTAATGGGCGCAAGTCAGGAGCGCAAGGTCCAAACCACACCCCTTGCTCGTAAGTTGCATCTGGGGAGGGAACGACCCGCTTGGCGCGGTTTGCCAGCTTCAACGAGTTGGCCTGGCTGAAGTTTCCCTCTGCTTGAGCCTGTGGAAACCACGTGGCATATCCAGTCAAGCATGGCTGGCCCGCGGTCTCCCTGATGCTGGACTGCGCTGGTGAGCAATTCACACACATCAGTGCCTCGGTATTCCTAGCATTCATTGGCCACTCAGATTCCAATCCAGCCTTCGCAGTGCCGCCCAAAGCGTCTTGGAGTAGCTGTGTGAGTTTGTGGTTCCTGCAAGCACCGCAGGCCACCAGGCAGCTCTGAACGGAATACGGTCCTGTACGGGATGTATTTTTTTCTCCTTGCAATCGCCTACAGCTTGCAAAGGAGTCATGCGGGAGCAATCGGGAGGTGAGCGCAAGTGAATCAAGGGCCTCTATGACGTCACCAAGGGCAGCAAGGCTCTTGTTGATCTCAATCGTCTCAAGTTGGCGGTCCGTGTCCCAAGACTTCACCTGCACGCAAATCATGCGAGGAAACCTGCTGCGGTGACAACGCTGACGCCTCTATCTTCTTCAGCCGCTCGCACCCGCCAAGGTCACAAAAATGCCTCGCGGACTAGTAAATGGGAGAGTTCGCATGGCGTTTTTCTCAAAACACACAGCTCAATTGTCGCGTTGATCTTTGCCCAGTCGCAGCTTGCTCGTGGATTCAATCTCACCCCCAGTCTCCCTGGTGATGTAGACCTTGGTCTGGTCGAGCTCCGAATGTCGTGGCTTCAGCCATGTAGCCGTGAGCAAAATGTGAGCTACGAGGAAGCAGTGAGCCCTGCAAACACCATGACTCAGTTCTGGTTGCGCGTCTCTGGGCATCAGGCTGTAAAAACCACGTGGGACCTGGAGCTCTGCACGTTCATCGCGTGGGCGGCAACCGCTCGCTGCTCCAACCCGCGCTGGAAAATCTCCTCGGAAGCAATACGCGCAGTGAGCCCAGAAGTCACATGTCACGCGTGCGCATTGCTCACGAGATCTGCCTGCAGCTCCTCTGCGCTCTCGGCGGCTTCCTTGACAAGACCCTCCACCTGGCACTGGGCACTGGGCACATTGTGTATGCTGCGTATGCGGGTGCCTGCACCTTGCCTTTGTCCAGCTTCAGCCCCAAAGCAGGGTTTTGCCTGCCTCGGCTGAATGCAGCGAGCCTCGCGCAACCTGACATGCCCACCTTGCCAGTCGATGGGTCGCAAAAGGTCGACCAAGCAGTTGTTGTACAGCTCCATCCTGGTTAGCACCCTAGTCAATGCTGTCACGAGCAACTCACTCCCCTGAGGTCCCAGCATGGAGCCACTGACTCTGACCTTGGTTGGGGCGAGCGGGTGGAAGCGCGGAAACGAGTGGTCAAACATCAAGCAAACTGCAAACATGCCATGTGAACACATGACATGCCCCGGCACAAGGCCGCGACACCTTCTGCAGCCTCGAGAAACGGTGGGGTTTGGACTTTGCGGGGTGGCCAAGCCCGAGAGCCCGCCTCGAAGAGTTCCTGCATCATCCTGGGAGCGAGACCTTTCTCTTGAGGAGTGCCATACCTGGCTGACGGTTTCTCGGGCTCATCATGCAAAGGCTCTGGCACATGGTGTAGGTCTTCCCAGCGCCCGTGATGCCATAGCAGAACACTGTCACCTCATGAGCGCGCAAAGGCCCCGACGCAGCCAGGGTTCAAGCGGACGTTATGGCCATCGAGCGCTGACTGTGCCAAATCACGGCTCTCCTGGAACACCTCCTCCTGGCAGGGCCGACCATGGGCACTATTGAGACTTTTGAGACTACAAGTATCGACCGTGGAAGTCACAAGGCCGCTGTTCGGCTTGGGGCCCACCAACCTTTCTCAGCTGTCACGAGCGAGCTGTTGGCTCCTGCTTTGCTCCATACGGGTTTAGGCGAAGAGCGACTAGCAGTTGTTGAAGGGTGGGTTTGAGGTTGGGGTTAGGCTGGGTAGGGTGGGAGCTGGACGGATTCAGGTGTGTTCAGGGCGAGGGTTGGCTAGGGTGGATTGGATTTAGGGCTGACTTAGGATGTTTAGGGTAGGTTCAAGGTCGGCTTGCGGATTAAGGTTGGTGATGGGTCGGGTCAGAATAGGTTTAGGCTTGGCTTCGGGCGGTCAAAGGTGGGTTCAAGGCTTGTGTGGCTTGCCTACTTGAGGTGGGATCATGACTTGTGGAGGCTTGGTAAGAGTTTCGGGCCTGCTTTCACCACCAAAGCTGCCAACCCACAACGACGAAGTTCTGCTCTGGACAACGCATGATTCTGGGACGCTTGCTGCTCAAGCACTGCAGAGTCTGGCTGAGATAGGGTGGGACCACCGCATGCTGCGCTTCATTCCAACATTTAGTTTGGAGCATCTCCGCCCAAAATGCGGGGGCAGCCCCAATTTTGCAAAAAAGCTCCGCAAGCCCACGCAAATTTCGGAAGCGAACATTGCAGGCCTGAGAACTGGAAGGGCCAAAGACGCCACCAAACTCGAAGACATCGCCAGGCTTCACCTATTCGAGCGCAAAGCGTGAAGCGCAAACAGCCCTCGCCACAAGCTGTACGAAATTGAAAGACGGCAAGTGTCAAGTGCGCCTCCAAGGTGCTGCGGTCTATGTTCAGCGCCTCAATCTCACCACCTTGCCGCTCCTTCGCGCTCAGCGGCCTCACCTCGGACTGGAATCGATGGATCCAAAATTCCTTTTTCCCATGCTTCAGCAATGTTCATCAATTCTCACCATGTTCCTCTGATTGAATCGCACCGGCTCCATGCGACCGTTGGGGCTTGGCTTCTCCGCGCCGGCTGGGGGCCACAGCCCGGCAGTAGACTCGAAGCTGACCCTTCAAGTCCTTGCGCGAAGCTCACAAATTCACAAAGTCGAAGAGTTGCCAGTTCGAGCTTACACTCGTCCTGGTAAATGTTGTGGAGTCGTTTTCTTTGCGCGTCAGCTGGTGCCAACTGCTCCTGCGCGGGAAACATGCCAAACTTACTAACGGTCAAATCCCAACCTTGCCTGCGATAGCACTGCTCGACCCTGAGAAATGGCCTTCGCATCGGCCCATCGGGTCAATGATGCAATATACTGGCACCACATTTCAAAAGCATGGACTTTTGACTCCGAGCCTGTACCATCTTACCATCTGCATGTCTCAAAAGCAACTCAATCGACGACTTTCAAGGAGCCCATGTCCAGCAGCCCAATGCTGCGAGGCTTTAGTCTCGAAAAAGCTTGAAACGCGACATCAGCAACCTGCCCGCCTCTATCAATCGATCTCGTGCCTAAGCTCATGTTGTGGCAACTTGTGGATCATGTCCCACAGGTCTTTGCCTGGCCTCTTTGACGGCTGTCACCCCGTCAGCGTCAGAAATGGGAACGGCTAGGTCAATAGCCTGCCGGGGAAACGTATTCAAGGTGGAAAGTGGCATTTTGTTGGCCAAGCCTGACTGAGGAGCTGCAGGAATTTTGTGTCCTGCATTCAGCAAAGCTCAGGCCATCCTCATCTTTCCTCATCACAACCCGTCCTGTGCTTCTGACTGCACTGTCTGCACGCCTGTCACATGCTTCCCACTTCGCGCGGGTCAAGTCTTTGCCCTCGCTATCTCAGGTATCTATGGGCAATCTCTGGCCTACAGACACGCCCGCCGTCCTGCATGGGATCAGTGGGCATTGCGCGGGCCGCTTGCGAGGGCCCGGGCTTTGAGACCGGCGAGGGCAGGGAACGATTTGATGACGGGGTGGGCGGGGTCGAGGCCGAGGTAGCCGAGGTAGCCGAGGTAGCCGAGGCAGCCGAGGTAGCCGAGGCCGAGGCCGGGGGCAAGGTGGACGAGGTCAGCGACCGCAAATCGGCCTCAGGAAGGTTCCATGCTCCCCGTGCCCCGTGATGCCCCGTGATGCCCCGTGATGCCCCGTGATGCCCCGTGATGCCCCGTGATGCCCCGTGATGCCCCGTGATGCCCCGTGCAACCTGCATCATCCTACCTTTGGCGTGGTTGGTGAACGCGGTGTGCTGACGGCCACGGGCACTACCTCACTTCACCCGCTCCGGCTTGCGGCTTGCCTTCCTAGTCTCAAAAAGCCATGCTGTCAGCTACCGAGTTACCTTGGCCAGAGGAAGCTGCCGGAGTGGAGCAATATGAACAGTCCTCGCGCTGGACAAGAATCCGAGCCAAGGAACCTTGCGTTTGCACACGTCAATCATTGCCATGGCTGCCATGGCACTGCCGAATTGATGTGCTCCAAGGCACTACAGCCTCACCGCTTGCGTTGGGCCCGGAGCATGAGAGCCCCTGGGAGCCAGGCAGGCATGAGAACGTGCTTTGGCCTCGGCCAAACGAAATCAACTCGAACACTTCGTCAAGTTGGGCCATGGTGCTGTTGCACCAGAGGCTGAAGAAGCCTTAGCTCTCTGATTGACTTTTGTTCGAACGCCTCGCCTCTGAGGCCCGAGCTGATTTGCAAACGCCAGTTGGGCTTCAAGTCGCCTTCGCCAAACCACGGGCGAGACTCATGGCTCGGCATGGCTCGGCTTGCAGCGCCTGGACTGCTCCTCCAAGTGCTGTCGTGCTGCTGTCGCCTTGGCCTCACTTGTCGCACATCCTCCCCCAAAGTGGTCGAATGCCAGGAATGCCCTGAATGCGTGGGTTTGGCGGTTGCTCGCAAGACTCATTGGACCCACGGTCAAGCAGATGCAAATGAATTGCACCCAGCCTGTGTATCTGAGTGCGGGAAAAGAAAGAAAACAAAAGTCCTAAATGTGGCGGGCAGGTCTGATTGTCATGACCGCTCACTGCATCTCAGTTCGCATTGCAAGTGCTCACACCTGGAGTGTCCACGATCTCATCGAGCGTCGCGCCACAGTAGCCCACCATGCCATTGCCAATGTTGTAGTCGCGACTGGCGCACGAGATCTCCCGAGAGTTGAAGCCACTTGCCCCAAATGGCCCGATGTTCTCGGTGCGGTCCCCGAAGAAATGCACTTTCTCCGGCGCAATGGTGACGCCCTTTTGCCCGTACCATCTTACAATGCCGCTGACAGCCTCAGTTATCTAGCTATCCCAAGCAGCCCACAGGCATCAACCGACCTCGCCCCAAGTCGGAGCCGGACTTGTGCTTGATTGTGCTTGCAAACAGCATTTGTTGTGCGTGCAGAGGCGCAGCCTGCTCCTTCAAAGAGGAGCGGGTGTTCGAATCTGTCTTAGTCCTTGTTTAGGGCACGGCACCGCCCCTCCGGCAGACCCAACATGCTGTTTTTCGGAGTTTTCAAGTGCAGCCGGGCAGCATCTTGCTTCAGCTTGTCTGGCCATCGTAAGACCAGGGGAGACGAGACTGTGTGGCTGGACCACACAGATGCTTCAGGCTGCTCCCGTTTCAGACGCCGGAACGGGACGCTATTGAGCACATTCTTCAAAATGAAGTCGCGCTCAGGGGAGCCATGGCCACTGGCATCGCCATGAGAGACAATCCCCAAGAAGCACTCGTTGCAGAAGGTCTGCTGCAGCTTCTGCGCAGCCTCTGACAGAGTCAGCCAGCCTTGCGAATACGCGCTGTCCCAGACGTTATTGATCTCCTTGTTGCCAGGGCAAGTGGACCCTGGGCCGGCCACACCTTGGGCACCTGTGAGCGTTCGGTCAATGTCGAACACGCAAAGGCATGACCCCCCCGTCGGGCTCGGCGCCGGGCTCGGGCTCGGGCCCGGGGAGTTGCAAAGTGCCACCCCGGGAGTGTCCACAACCTCTGCAGCCGTGCCCCCGCAGTACCCCACCATGCCATTGTGAATGGAGAGGTCTCCTTGGAACGTTCCACAGGGCTTGAAGGCAAGGCTACGCAAGAAATGAACAGATTCAAATCTAGAGAAATCTGGCAAATCTAGACATGTAAAGAACACAAAGGGGTGGCTCGCTTTTGCTCGGGACATGTCGGGACCCATTAAGTTCATCGCAGGTGCGGGAGGCGCAGGAGATCTCCCGTGCGTTGAAGCCCTTGGCGCTGAAGGGCCCGATGTTCTCCGTGCGATCCCCGAAGAAGTGGGTCCTGGACGGCGGCACGCGGATGTTTTGGGCCTGGTACCACTGCAGGATGTGCTCCACGGCGTCCTGTTTCTTGGTGTCCGCCCAGCCCAGGACCAGGGGCGACCCGAAGCGGCGGCGCCGGCTCCAGGACGCCGCCCGCGGCTCTCGGGCGCGGAGCTCGGTGAAGGGCCGGGACACCAAGACGTGGTCCAAGAGGTAGGCGCGCTCCGCGGAGTTGTCGCCGCTGGCGTAGCCGGCAGACACAATCCCCAAGAAGCACTCGTTGCAGAAGGTCTCCTGCAGCTTCTGCCCCAAGTCGGAGATAGTGAGCCAGCCAGGGTACGCCGGCCAATAGGCATCGTCTCGCACCCCTTGAATCTCCAAGTTCGAGGGGCATGCGCCCCCAGCTGTGCCCTGGGCACCCGTGAGAGTCCGGTCAATGTCGAACACGCACAGGCAAGCATCCCCTGTGGAAGGCGTGGAAGCATTGGGATCATAGCAGTAATCAAAGTTTGGCTCTCCCGTCCCCAAGCATCCTGGTACAGGAGATGTTCCATCCCGCTGGAAACAGCTCAGACCTTGCGCACATTGACTGTCAGTGTCACAGTCGCCGGCACATTTCGGCATGTTCTGCGAACCATGTTGCCCATAACTGCTGTCCAATGGTGGGAATGTTCCGGACGGAATGCTTGTAGTGGTGGGTGTTGTTGGTGAATCCGTGACATCATTGGGATCATAGCAGTAATCAAAGTTTGGCACCCCTCCGCCAAAGCAACCTGGCACAGGAGATGTTCCATCTCGCTGGAAACAGCTAAGACCTTGCGCACATTGACTGTCAGTGTCACAGTCGCCAGCACATTTTGGCATGTTCTGGGAACCATGTTGCCCATAACTGCTGTCCAATGGTGGGAATGTTCCGGACGGAATGCTTGTAGTGGTGGGTGTTGTTGGTGAATCCGTGACATCATTGGGATCATAGCAATAATCAAAGTTTGGCACCCCTCCGCCAAAGCAACCTGGCACAGGAGATGTTCCATCTCGCTGGAAACAGCTAAGACCTTGCGCACATTGACTGTCAGTGTCACAGTCGCCAGCACATTTTGGCATGTTCTGGGAACCATGTTGCCCATAGCTGCTGTCCAATGGCGGGGCAATGATCATGGGATCTTGCTGGATTGGAGGTGCGGAGGTTGTTGAGCTTGTTTCATTGGGTGGTGAAGGTTGGGGTGGGCTGGGCAGGGGGCCGTTGCCAGGTTCGCAGGCAGGGTCGTAGCAGTAATCCACTCCCCAGAACGGCAGGCCATTGCAGCCCGGAACGTCTTCATTGCCACTACGCTGCATACACCGCAAGCTGCCACTGCAGTCATCGTCATGGTTGCAATCGCCCTCACATTTGCCAAGATGGAAGTTGCCATAGCCAAGAGTCAGAAAGGCTCTAGGTGCACAACGCGCGCGATCCAGCGCTGGGGAACTTGCCTTGCGCTGCAGTAGAACGTGGTCCGTCTTCTTGCCGCACTTGCCGCCGGGGCAGTTGCTGTCCCTCCCCAGCGCGGGGCAAAAGTGAGCCAGCACGTACCAAAGCACGACTTTGAAGGCAGCCATTGCAAATTGGGCGGAGCTGAGCCGGACAAGCTGCGTGCATCTCAGGAATCTCTCAAGTGCTCGAGTCCCAGGAACTAATGCTATGCAGCTTCAGCCAGAGGGCGAAAGCCAAAAAAAAATGCAGCTTCATTGGAAGACACATTGGGTCCTCTCCAAGTCTCCGACCGTCTCTTGCTGCATTGCTTGTGTCGCAGCTGCAAGGGCCTCGGTGCAACCCGATGCCTCCGGGTGCATCCTGCATCTCAGCGGGTGGCATCTGCAGCTGACATGAGCTCTGCTTCGCCTTGCAGCGAGCAATGGCCACAGTGCACAGCACCCGAGTCCAAGGTTTCAGCTCAACCCCATGGTGCTCTGCGCCTCAGATCTTGCAATGTTTCAAGATGTTTCAAGCTTCCAACGGAGAGCTGAGGCTCACAAGTTCCGTGCTCCCGTCTACATCTCAGGTGCCAGCTGTGGATGCAGCAGAGATGCTGCGAAAAACGCCTGGCCTGGGCGGAGGCCGGAGGCCGGAGGCCGGAGGCCGGAGGCCGGAGGGCGGAGTCCGGAGTCCGGAGGGCTGGTCTTTCCTTGAATGTTTCCGGAGGTGACTTGCGCTAGGCGCCTAACCTGGATGCCCCAGGCTCGAGGTCCATCGGGCCCCGTTCGTCGCTCCCTTCGCATCCTTTTCCGGGCAGCCCCAACGGCGCCCGGGCGCGCGGAGTCTGCGAAGGCGATGGGGAGCGGCGCTGTCTCAGCCTGCTCTTGGAAAGTGGCGATGGCGGCCCAAACATGGCGTCACAAAGCCAAGGGCTGCAGGCAAAAAGCCCTGCCAAAAGGCAGAAAAGTCATCAAGCCAAAAAGCAAAATCGACGCTTGCTGGCCATGAGCTGCGCTTTTTTGCAGACTTTGCTGCTGGAATCTCATCTTAACTCCTATACACGGCACTCTGGGTCACGAGGGCGGGCAGGGGCCCACCTCGCGCAACTGAAGCCGATTGGGTCCAATGCACCAGTACAGCTTGAGGCCACAGCAGTGGCAGCAAGGACGGAAATCGCGGCTCCAACCTCAACGAATGTTCGCAACTCTGAGGCTATGGAATTCGCAGTCGAACGTGTACATGGTAGGCGAGTAGGTGCTATCTTGTGTCTGAAGCTGCCGCCAAAGCCGAAGGAACTGTCCAGAGCTTTCTCGCCCTGCTGCAACACGTGCATGTCCAAAAAGACACAGCTGAAAACGGATATGTGAAGTGCACCGCTCTTGCCCAAAGCGTCATCAACATCGTCATGTCTGTGGAAATCAATTTGACCTCAAGTTTCGTCAGCCACATACTTTGTGTTCGCGTGCCTGTTCAAAACTGGGCCGGAGTAGCAGGGCCCGACTACGAACAAGAATAAGAGCGTCGGATTGCCACGCCCGGCCGCGGCTCTCAGGGCATAGCAGTTGTCGGGACATGCTGTGTAGCTTTGCAACAATCGACAAATCACCCGACCCCCCATTAAGCAACAACAGCAGGGAACAGCAAGACTGTGGAACTGCTTATTCCAGGCACGCTACTTGGGGCACAGGAGCGTCGGCGGTTGGCGTAGCAAGCTTAATGCTGCCCAGTCCATCGATGCTTGAGGCTCTGACAAGGTTGGCCCGCCTCGAACTGCTTAGGCTCCAAAGGCTCCAAACGCTCCAAATGTCGCGCGCAAACATGCGCTCAGTACACTCAAAGCACTCAGTGCGCTCAGTGCATACCCCGCTCCTACCGCGGGAACGCCTTCGCGACGCTGCGTCAGCAACTCCTTGGTGGTCCTGGAGGCAGCGCCCAGCACCGCTCGCGCCCGCCTTGGCCTTTGCCTTCCGGTGCAGCTGAGCCAGGTGTGAAAGCCCACAAAGATGAGCACACAAGGAAGGAGTAACACAGCCTCAGCATTTATTTCATTGAATTGATGCACTTCATGCCCCTTTTCGCCCTTTTCATCATGTTCATCCACTTGCTTTCGTTGGATTCATTCAAGAATTCCGGGATTCCCACTGGTGCCAGTACAAGCAAGAGCAGCATCAGGCCCTCGTCAGAGATATCCCCAGCGCCCTAAGTTCACTAAGTTCCAGGTTGCCATCGGACGCCGTTCGGATCTTCGGATCGGATCTTTGGCCCCAGGCGGTCCAGTGCGCATACCACAGCCCGATGCCCGACAACACTGCAAGGCCCAGAAAAGCCACCGACCTCAGGCACGGCGGCACGGCATGTGGCCCGACGGCCCGACGGCCCGACGGCCCGACGGCCCGAGCCCTGCAAAGATCGCAAGTCGCAAGGCAGCCTGAGCTCTCAACAGCAAGAAGGCCGTGAAGAACGGATAGTTCCTGGCATCGAGCCAGCTTTTCGGTCTCGCAGCTGGCAAAGCTGCCAAGTTTCTGCATGCCGGCCTTTGCCCAATGCAATTGTTGACGAAGGGACAATGATGATCAAACCTGAGTGGCAATGTACATTCTTATGCGGATGGGGGACGGACTTGGCTTGATGCCTCAAAACGCAGTTGTCGCAGTCGCGGCAGTGTGAGGCACGAGGAGGCCGGATGATCCGGCAAGTTTGGCAAAACCTGCGTGGCAATGGGACAGCGTAAGTCGCCAAGTGACAAAGCTGGTCACTTGCAAGCGCGTCGCAGCCTGTTGGCCTGTGTAGTGCCAACTGAATGTTTTCATGCCAAGTTCATGGAAGCGCTCATATTTGCTTCGAAGTATTAGCCCAACAGCTTCGCGCGAACAGGCTCGCGGCTTTCAACGAAGGGAGATGAGAAGAATTCAGATGGTGGTAGCCTGTTCACTGTATACGACCCAACACAGTAACTGTCCACATGTCTGCCGTGCCAACAACGTACTTTCAGATCAGGGTGAACACGTGAACAGGTCACACACGCGCAGCTGGACTCACCGTGGCCCGACAATCTTTTTAGAGATTGGTGTGACAGTCTTGTTTTTTTGCGTTTCTTTCTATTTTTTCCTGGAAGCATGCGCAGGGTCCTTCTAAAGACGGCTACAAGCCTTACAGGGCAAATATATCCTGCCAACTTCTCGGGTGTTACTCTGTTGCTGCAAATGTCAGCTGACTTTTCGGGTGTCACATCTCCTGCCAACTTCCTAGACAGTACTCTACTGCTGAGGCTGCCGTTACATCGCTATCAGCCGCTATCGTAAAAACCAGAGCTAAAAATTACCAGGTAACTTTTCTCTTACTTCACGATCCTAAGAACACAAACTAGCTGTTCGTTTCCACAAGTTTCCACCTTCTCTTCTCGAGTCTTAGTTCTTCCTTTTTTGCAGGCCCGACGCGAGCCATGGAAACGCACCCCTCTGCGGAAATCGGGCGGGTGTGTTTTTTGCAGCATTTACAGGGCCTTGGTAAACCCCCTGGCGGGGGTCGGGCATGTCGATGAGCAAAAACCCGCGTGTTTTGAAACCTTTGGCCTGCGGCCTTGCTGAGCGAAACATGCAAGTGTTCAATCAGAAAGCAACATGCTATGAGTGACTCACGCAGCGGCCACAAAATCGCATTTTTGCGTACAAAAGTGGTAGGCGAAGTACGCTCCCGGCGTCCCAGAGCTCGAACACCGCAACTTTGAAGTACAAAGCTAGCACAGGAAGTGCGCAGTTTGACAATCCCAATCATCAAGTAACAACAGCAGCACGCAAAGTGCTCTCGCGCAAGCCGCAGCCAGCTTCTCATTTCAATTAAGTAGCGCTCGAAGCGTGCTCCCGCGCAGCTCCAGCTCGCAATCACAGCGTTCTACAGTGAAAGTAGTATATAGGCCATATTAGGTGAAGTACGCTCCGCCAGCTGCTTCTCAAACGTGGCAACTTTGGAGTATACCAGAAACATGTACAATTGCCAACTACGCAATCTCCTGCGACCCTAGTTAGATGCACAATCATCGGCCAACTCACGTCACCCAAAGCTACGTTTGCATAGTTGTGTCGGTGGCAACTGACGGTAATAATTAACGTGTCTATGCTTCCGGGCCGTTGTTTTTGTCTTGTTTGGTTTTCCTCTGGGGGAAGTGACGAAGTGATGCCAGCTTTCCTGGGTGCTGTCCCGTGGACCTTCTTGGCCTACTGCCGCGCCTTTGGCGCGGGGAGGACGCTTGAAAAGACGATACCCTCGCACCGTTGATGCGGGTTTGTAAAACTCCTTTGGCTCATTCGTCAAATGCGTTGCTCAACGACTTCCCGGTCAGCAGAGACAAACCTCGGAGATCTGCGCGGCTTTCCGCAAACTTCTGCTTCTTTTTTTTTCTGCCCTCAGCCAAGGTGCTCTGAGACTTGGCGGGATTCTGCCAGTCCCGGCGACCTGGATCTGAAGTTGGCGAGGCCTGTCACGCGCCGTCGCGAACGGGACAGCTTGACAGCGCCTGCCGCCCACCTCTGGACGAAGCTGGAGATGAGGCGGACAATGCGGAGAGTGTTCGGGGCAAGTAAGGCGAGTCCTACAGCGGCACTGTGCCCTTCCAAACATTTTGGAGCTGCGTCTCTCCTGTTCGTCGTCAGCTCTTCCTAACCCCTTGTGCTTGGCCTGCAAGGTGCGGTTTTCGCAGCCTAGCAAACCACCAGAGAAGCCAAACCTGCGTGGGATCCTGGTCCAGGTCATCTTCAATACACGCCTCATGGTGACAGATGTGACTCAGGTGACCCTTGCAGCGCTTCAACTCTTGCAGCCGTGCAGCTGCGAGGAGCTCACTCATTTTCAGCTCCTTACCCGCCGCCTTTTTGGTGCCACCAAACGCCATCCCATCACTCCTCCAACTGCTGCTGCTCCAAGGTGGACTTGTAGATGGTGGTTTTTGGCCGGTAGCTCTTGGGGTGGGTCACCTGGCGCGCGCCAATGCGACAAAAGAGCCTGGCCCTTTGAAGGGTGCCCACGGCCTCCTTGGGCAAGTCCCAAGCACACCCGTAGGCATTGCAGAACTCCTGGGTAGTTCCCCCGCGGCTCTCACAAGTGCGTTGCAAATTAGGGAAGAGTTGGAAATGAAAGGCGTTTTGGATGGCAAGCTTAGAAGAACATATTTATTGCTTGCCGAGCCTTTCACTTTCTTAATTTCTTCTTCCTACATCCATGCCATTCCTAACTTTAAGATCTAAAAAAATAAAAACGTAAAAAAAGGAATCATCTCTTCCTCATCTCTTCACCACTCATTTCCTTCGTGTGTGCGAGATGTAAGTACAAAGTCTTCAAAGGTATAGACTGTATACGCCATATAGACCTTCCCCACCTCATGTTTCCGTTCCCACTTCTCCATGGTTGCTCCGTTTTTCTCCGCGTCGTAAAGTCTGAAGTGCAGCACGATGAGCCTTAGGACTCATTTGCAAGGACGAGGCCCTCACATGCACTTGGAGTTCTGGTTCTTCTCTTTCACGCAGACCATGTTGTTCTTGCACATGCACATGCCGGTCGCCACTGGTGACATCTCATGAGATCCCACACATTGCACGTCAGAGGATGATGGATCGAAGATGTTCTTCGGGGGGAAGACAAAGGTAGGGCAGCCATCCATAGGGTTGGTGGAGCTGCACCGCTTCTCAGAGACACAGCAGGAGGGATTGAGCTGGCCATTCTGCAGCTTGCACTCTTCTGGTACGACAAGCTGATCCGCATAGTCCAGCGCCATCTTCAAGCACTTGATGGATTCCATGGAGTTGTCCGTGGAAGTCATCAGCGCTGTGATGCTCTGCATGGCCTTCTGGGGATCCTTGAAGGCCGTGCTCATCACCTGCTGGAGGAAGTCCCCGCAGCTTTGCATGGTCCCGCGGTTGGTGCCCAGCATCACGCCGGCGA